ATAATCACATTTAACTTTAACCAAACTGTTGGGAGACTGATTTCAGTGTCCACATAAAAAGAAAAACATTTAATTCTTAAAATATGCACAACATGATGCAGAAAACAGCTGTAGCCCTGTCCACAATGATATATTGACAGCAGTGTGTCAGCCAATCTCAAAAATCATTCCCAGCATCTGATTAAACCAGGAGGAGTTGTATCAAATGTATAATCATCTTGTTTGTTCCTGTGTGATCAATGTTGTTACTGTTCCAAGGATTGGAAAGGCCCAGGGGCTGTTATTACGTCAAAATGCAAATTATACTTTGCTGTTTTGCAAGAAAATGAAATGACAGATTTTGATCTTATGTTGTGTGCTGTAGTCTAAAGTATGAAACCCTGTAGATGTCTAGTTTAGATGACAGCGGATTTATGAACATGCCCTTAAATTGAGTACACAATAGACAAGAACCCCTGCCCATAAATCTGCAGGACCTTCAGTATACGACAGCATCATAAACCGACACTTGAACGGTACACAAATATGTGAATAACCAGATGAGAGACGACCTCCTATCACGTATATTTGCTCAAATTATATCAACACCTCCAAGGGGATTAAGAGGACCTGTAGGGCCACATACTTCAAAAAGCAGGTCTCTACAAGTCATCTCTGATATTATTAATCCCTAATAAAGGTTATCACTGTAAAAAAATCACTGTAATGCCACTTGATTGTTGATATGTGCTGCTGATCTCATGCTGCTGATTTATTTCATGCTGCTGTGTTCACTCGTACTCATCTGCTCACACAGACTCATGTTTGTGCTGCTGTTCGGTGTATTGTTTTTATGCTACTATTAGTGTATTCTTAGTTTAGCGTATTTCTTAGATCTTATTACTGTTTTTCTTTGCCATTTATACTTTTGTTGGATGTAACCGGACCCTGTGTACACAATTTCATTCCACCACATGTACCACATATGATGCAAATGACAATAAAGATGCCTTAACCTTAAGCTTGACCTTGATTATTGTCAAAATTGTTGGTCCCAGCACAGTTTGCTTTTTTCCAAATGTTTACACTTTTTTAATTATTTTTATTTTTACAAGGATTGCACTTTTAATATAACATTGCCTTTCCAGAGCAATATTTACTACTTTGGAAAAAAAGAGAAATGAGCACAAATTTTACTTGTTATAGATAGGATATTTTTAATCAATACATAACAGTGTTTTTTTTTTTGATAAAACATCACTTTAGATTTGTATAACGCTGACATTTTTGCAACAATGTTCTAAAGATTAACATAAATAGCTAAATAAAGATACAAAAAACACAAAAGGTAATTTTCTTGAATGAATCTCTTGCATTAATTCCCCATTGAAAGACAAATGGTTCTATGTACTTCTTATACAGAAAACAGTCACATGACCACCACAAACTGAAAAAAACTCTGTTTGCTTTCATCTCAAAGCACTTTTTAATTAGACCCTTGCAGAGCTGCTCATTTGGCTTCAAACTTGTTTTTTGATACAAAGTGCTTGCTCCGAAGAAAAACATCAGCATCAGTCACTGCGAGTGCTGCAACATGACATATGTTAAGCTGCGAGAGACAAAGCTCTCAAGCTGCTGTGAGAATTTCATAATCACCAGAAAATTAGCTGGATCATTAAATAGCATGCTTTCCAACATATCTTGTAAAAACACTTGATAATGCAATAAAAATGAGTTTTCCGCAGCTTTGCTAAAAGGCTTTTTTAACAGAATAAGCATTTGGAACTAAAATCAAACAACAGTGTTGTTTTTAAAAAATACTGTATTTTAAAATAAGTTTATGCTCAGTGCAGACCCACAGCAAATATAGACAAGTGGTGTTTTGACTTGTGCAGATTGTAGATTAATATTATCTAATTTAGATCAGTATGGCATGTCTTAGATACTTTTACTTCCATCAGGAAGTTTATTTTTTAATATGATTTTAGGTTTGTTGCTCAGATTATTTCAAATGCACTGGCTAGATTGCAATTTATGTCAGTCGACATTAATTTTGACCTTTTTCCATGCAATCATCTATTTTCATCCTTAGATGGAGGTTGGTTTGTGAAAGCAGATGGTCCAGGAGGAAAATGCACATATTCCTCTACCCAGTAGCACTCACCACCTCTTCCTTACAAATCCCAAGGTGTTGCCATGTCAGAGAAGTGACATGATCCCTCCAGCACATTCTGGACCTTCTGCAGGGTCTCCTATACATTTACCGGTACCTAGCATATTATTTTCAGGAGAATGGGTTTAAAATGAATACATTTAATTTAATTCAGTTTATTTGTAAAGTGCCAAGTCACCGCAGAAGTTGACTCAGGGCACTGTACAGAGACGTTCACATACATTGATAAGCCAATTAGTAAAAGTTATATGTGTATGGAAGCCAGCAGATTGTGCTGAATCATCACTTCATCACAGTTTCCCATCCTGAGCAAGTACAAAGGCAACAGTGGAAAGGAAAAACTCCCTTTTTACTAGAAGAAACCTCCAGCAGAACCAGGCTCAGGACGAGTGGCCATCTGCTTCAACTGGCTGGAGTTTGAGAGGACAGGAAGGAGAAACAAACAACACAATGGCTGGTCCAGGTGTACTTTGGAAGAAGGTAAAAAAATATATGTTAAGGATAAAAATAACAAATACAAAACAGATAGAATAAAGCAAGTAAAACAGCAGCAGAGTGAAGAAATGTGTCAGTTTGTCCTTCAGCAGTATAAGTCTATAGCAGCATAAGGGACAGCTCAGGAAGCCCAAGCCAACCCTGACTATAGGATTTATCAAAAAGAAAAGACTTAAGCCTAATCTTAAAAGGACATAAGGTGTCAGCCTCATGGACAGAAAATGGAAGTTGGTTTCACAAGAGAGGAGCCTGATAACTGAAAGCTCTGCCTCCCATTCTGCTTTTAGAAACTCTAGAAACCACAAGTAAACCTGCAGTTTACAGTGAATTTGTGAACACCACCACACAGAATGCAACAATTTGTTCTGGGTTAGTCGAACTAAAAAAAAATTAAGTTACTCATTTTATCCTTGAGCCCATTCATTATATTTTGTTGTGTGTGAAGAAATAAACATACATTTTTATAGTTTATAAAAAAGAAGTGTACCTTTTACATCAGCTAACATCAGCAGAACTTTTCTCTGCAAAGTGAAAAAGTAAACTAAAGTTCACCAAAGTGAACAAAATGTAATCATTTTTTTTCTAATTTTCAAAAAGCTTTTGTAATCTAATTTGTTTTCCTTTATTATACTTTATCATATCAATAACAAATATTGTTTTTATTACCCTCCTTAAAAGAATTAAAGGATTCAGAGTACACATTGCAGTGTAGAGTAAAAAGTAGAGATAGAAAAACCAGTAATGTGTTGTTTGTAAAGGAAGATAAAGGTTGGAGCATCATGGCAGAGTGTATGTTGGATCTGCTTCATGTGTTTTGTATGCTGCGGGGCTGAGGGAACCTGCAGGAGTCAGTGAAATGTTTCATCTTAATGATACTTTCTCAGCTGTTATCCCGGGTGGTTAAAGCTCTGACTGTCTGCGTGCACAACCATACATGCATGTCTGGTCTGTAACTCACAGTCCAGCTGCTCCTGCAGTGTTCTCTCTTCTCCTCCTCTGTTTTGTCTTCTATAAATGTTGAACCTGCACATAAATAAAGTATAAGTGGGGGAAAGACTCCAGGAATTCAGGGAGACAGAAAAGTTTTACAGAACCTATGGGGTGTCCAGTAGTGTTTAACTTTGGGATGTTGATGGGGTATATTTTGGTCCTGTCAGCAGCCATGTGGGGTCTTGGCTCTAGCAGCTGCTTTAATAGAGTGGAAGGTGAGGAATTTGTTGTCATTTAAACACTTTAGGCTCTTTAGTCAATAATTTCTGCACTGTTTTTGCAATGAGTCAGTGAATAATGTTTTGATTAGTACTGGAGAAATTTCATAAAATACCTTGTCACTATTTTATGTCCAACAAGCAATAATGGGTTAAACATCTGGCTTTTTTAAGAACCTAATTTAGCCAAACATATATAGTAACTTGATTTAATGAAATGTTTCTTATTGTGTCTAAACTTTAAAGGGCAAGCACAGAAGAAATATGACTGAGAAAAACAAACAAAAAAATGTGACGAGAAAGAGAGAGAATGGAGAAAAGAGCAGGGTTATAGGAGCCCAGATAGTCAAATTAAAGGGATTAGACAGCTCATTCCCCCCTAATTCCCTTATCACCTCCTTCCGCAGTGGATCGGGCTGTCACTTCAACATTTACATGACCTCATATCCTGCTCAAACCTAAACAGGCACGACCCACATTATGCTAAATCTTCTGTTTACCTGACGTAATCCCTCCTGGACAAACAATTTGCAGCTGGCTACCTGGAAGTTTATGAAGAGGGACTCTTATTTTCCTTCTGGATTAACAGAAGGAAGTGAAGAATAGAACCTGTGTTTGCAATGAGTGGGTAAGCACACAACTTCACTCACAAAATAGGCTTCTATCTCAGTTACTGGTGGATTTTTTTTTTTTAATCTAAGTCATGGTCAGGAGGTAGAAAATAAGACAGAGTGCCAAACAAAAAGGAGGACCATAACCAAAAAGAAAGTGTATCATGTAATTCAGAAATAAAATGGTACACAGAAGTAAACTTGATAAGTGCAGAATATAAATCTTAAGTTCAAGTTCAAGTAAACTTTATTGTCATTACCACCTCTTGTGGTACATGAGATGTAATGCAATTATGTACACAGGGTCCCAGTTACACCCAAAATTAGCAAAATATAAATATAATAATATATACACCATATATAATAATAGTGTAGGACTAAAACATTGATATACATTAAGACCTAAAAATTATAAGCCAAACCCTTGGAGTTAT